ATTTTACTACCGCTCACCTTCAAAAACTCAAAAAATTCAAAATTTTTTAAACTAGACCCAATGTCGTTTTCTGCATTTATTTGAGTCCTTAAGACCTCTAGAAATGGAAAAAACGTAAAATAGATCAATTTTAAAGGTAAAATTTTTTTGGGATTTTTGTCGAGATTTTGGTCGATTTTTGGCACCCGGAGCGGTCTAATGGAAATAACTCCAAACTTATTGGAGATAACCTCCTATATTTGGTACCGTTGGATAGAAAATTTAATTTTCTATCATATATGAAAAAGATCAGTGCTCTACGATAAATAGTTATCGAGAACATTTCTGATAAAGTCAAAAATATCAAAAATATAATTTTTTCTGTAAATAATGGATTTGTCAAATCAATGCAAAAAAGCTTGAAGTACTAAAGCCACACTTGAAAACATAAAAATACCGAATACAAAAAAAATAAAACTTGCTTTAGATTTTTAATTTAATAATGCAAATATGCCAAAAACCGTCACATTGGGTCGAAAATTGTCCAGTTTTTGTCTTTTATCTAAAAGTTTAAGCACTTTTGTGAAATAAAAACTCAGTTTTCTCAGAGGTTTTTTCAAAAGATTTTGCTAAATCTGATCCAAATATTACTAAATTAGATCAAAAATAACATTATCTTTGTCTTTTTCAAAAGTTTTCGTAAAATTTTGTCAAGGATATTTCAAAAAATTCTAAGAAATTGTGAGAAATATCTCCCGAGTTGCTTTTAACAAACAATCTTTTGTATCAGAATTTTTATAATAATAATAATTCGTCATTATTTCAAAAAAATTCTTGAAAAATAAGTTGAAAAATTATCAAATTTGGAGATTTTGCTAACCTGCTAATATAACAAATTTTTTCTTTTTTTCCGTGTTTTGCAGCTGAAAACGTTATTATTTAGGAAAATTGTGTCAAAAATATGCGAAATATCGGCAAATTGGAATAAAAATTGTCCACTTTTTGCCTTTTTCAAGCTTTTAAGCATGAAAATTCAGCTTTTTTAACATTATTTTTCCTTTTCTTTCATGTTTTGCAGCGGAAAACGTTATGATTTAGCAAAATTTTATCAAAAATATTTAAAAAAATCAGCAAATCGGAAGAAAAATTGGCCACTTTTTCCTTCTTCAAGCTTTCGAGCATAAAAACTCATTTTTCTTTTTTTTACGTTTTGCAGCTGAAAATGTTATTATTTAGCACAATTTGTCAAAAATTATTTGAGTCTTTAAGACCTCTATAAATGTAAAAAGCGTTAAATGGATCAATTTTAAAGTTAAATTTTTTTTGATTTTGGTCGGGATTTTGGTCAATTTTTGGCACCCGGACCGGTCTACTGCCAATAACACCGGACTTATTGGAGATAACCTCCTATATTTGGTACCGTTGGATAGAAAATTTAATTTTCTATAACACACAAAAAAGATCAGTGCTCTACAATGAAGAGGTATCAAGAAAATTTCTGATAAAATCAAAAGTATGGAAAATATAAATCCGACTATAACTTTAAAACTGTTAGGAATTTTGTAGTTTTTTTGACGGCAATCGATTCCCCGGAACATTTTACATAGGTTTAGGTCAAAGTATTATATCATTGAGGCACAGTTTTGCCGTAATTTACAAAAAAATTTAAAAAATTATGTTTTTGAACATGTCTCAGATTCGATTTAAACCTATCTTATCCGATAGATTTTGACGCGCTGATTACGAATTTACTAAGCATTTTGGGCTATCTCCTTTAGTTTCGCCGTAATCGGCGTTTAAAAATTCAAAWTTTTTTTGCGAGATATCGACTTGGCTTTGGCCTCAGTSGATAGATTTTCTTASGCTGATTACGATGGAGTTGGACTGATTGCTCTAAGTCTAATAGTTTGGCCGTAATCGCCGTTCAAAAAGTGAAAATTGTCAAAATTGTGAAACTTTAAACGCGTTTTTCTACGAAACTATAAGATTTAGAGCAAAGAGCTAAAAAAACATTAAAAGTAGCTTGAAATTGTCTATTTATTGGCGCAAACCGGAAGTCGCTCCGGGTTATCGTTCCGGGTACAGAGCCATTTTTAGTTTTTTCAAAAAAAAAATCATATTTCAAAAACTATGAGTCCTAGGTCAAAACGGTTTGTACAGGCGTGTTTTCCGGTTAATCTTACATATAGTACTAGTTTTTCATAAGAATAAAAAAAAATTGATTTTTTGGTCATAATCGGATATAGTGCTTATGCTTTTAGCCTTATTCTTAACTTTATTACTCAATATCTCAAAAACTATGCATCGTAGAGTATTTTAACTTGTTGCATCGTGTTCAGCGGGGAATTTTACGTCTAGAAAACCATATTTCAACCGTTTTTACGATTTTTAGTAAATTGACTATTTTTACGATTTTACTACCGTTCCCCTTGAAAAATTCAAAAAATTAAAAAATTTTGAAACTTGACCCAATAACATTTTATGCACTTATTTGAGTCTTTAAGACCTCTAGCAATGTAAAAAACGTTAAATGGATCAATTTTAGTGTTGAAAATTTTTTGGATTTTTGTCGAGATTTTGGTCGATTTTTGCCACCCTGACCGGTCTATTGCCAATAACTCCGGACTTATTAGAGACAACTTCTTATATTTGGTACCGTTGGATAGAAAATTTAATTTTCTATCACACACAAAAAAGATCAGTGCTCTACAATGAAGAGGTATCGAGAAAATTTCTGATAAAGTCAAAAATATCGAGAATTTAAATCCGACTATAACTTCAAAACTACTACGAATTTTGCAGTTTAATTGACGCCAATCGATTCCCCGGAATATTTTACATAGGCTTACGTCAAAATATTATCTCATAAAAATACAGATTAGCTGCAATTTACAAAATAAAATTAAAATTAAAATTTTGACAAAATGGTGGATGCGCCGGGATAATTTATTACCACTTCAATCATTTTCAAAAAAATTCATTAAAATAGAACAAAACTAGACATGTCTTTAAATTTTTAAGTAACAAAGAATATGAAATTGGTGATCTGAAGCGCAAATCCCATATTGTCACCTTCATGAAAACAAAGAGTTATCAAAGAAAAAGCAATTTCACTCAATGTACAACACTATGAGTAACAATTGTGTTAAACGACGGCAGCGAGAGCTCTAAATTCGTCCTTTCCCGTAAAGAAAATATCATTTTAAAACTTGAATTTATAAAATTGAAATATGAATAGAACTGCGATACTTTTCGTGTGATACTTTTCGTGTTCAAGACACAAATAAGACCAGTGTATACTTTCCTTGTGCGTGGTGGTGTCCCTAATACGGTATTCACGCCTCGGTGGTGCCTTGGTGGGTGTTAAAAAAGCGTGGGTTGAACTCTTCATCCATCAAAAATAGATGCGCAAGTCATCCGGATACATACGTGAACCTTTATTTATTCAACATTTACTTTCAATCTTCGCGGGTTTAAAATCCAAACTAAAATCTTTCAAAACGTTTTAATTCAATTTTTAAAATTCTTAAACTATTCATTTTTTGAAGAAACTAAGTTATAAATGATGTATCAAAGCACTAAAGTTTTATTTTTCATGACTTTAGTGCCGAGGTACATATTAATTTTTTTCCGAAATTAAGTTATTTTTATTGATGCAAAAAATTGTAGAAAAAAACAACACAAAAACCATAATGAGCTACTTTAGTGTCGTTTTTGGGAAAATTAGTTAATTGAAGCGAAAGCAGAAAATTATTATTTTTTAACTAATTCTTTTCGTTTAAATTTATATCAAACTAATTAACTGAGTTAAATGTTACAACAATCGATATGCTTCAAAAAGCAGAATAAACTTAACTCTAATTAGCTAAGTCATAAAATGGAATCTATATTATGTTGCTTTGTTAAAATATTAAACACCGTAATTCATAATGATAAAAAAACTGCATGAAAATTTATTGTAATTTTAGAGAATTGTTGAATGAATTAATTGTTTCGTAAATATACAAAAATACAAAAAAATATGGTGCAATATTTGTCAAAAACATTAAAATTTTGTTAAAAAATAATGTTTTTCTGAAAACGTGTATAAGGGAACAAGATAGTCCGTAAGTAATACTTTTCTAGGCTCATATGTCATTAATTGAAATTGTTCGTAGAGTTCTCTAAATTATCTGTAAATTGTGTTGGTTGCATTACGATTAAAAAAAACATAATGCAAAATTTAGCAAAAAATGACACTAATAAAAAAACTGAATTAATAAAATAAAAAAATCGCACTTTTAAGTGACAATTTTGTTACAAATGACTATCATTTTTTTATTTTTGGTAATGAAAATTACTCATATATATGGTAAAGTCGGAAGAGATAAAGATAAAGGTGAGTTTTACATATCAGAAATATATTATTTTTTTATGTATTTAAAAAAAATGTTACTTTTATAAACTTAAAAAAACGATATAAAGATCAAAATATTACAGTAGGTTTATTAAAATGTAGTCAATCTTGCGCGGACTTACCCTACATTGTGAGGTATTCAAAGTGGAAGAATTTGTACATCTTTTTTACTTTAATCTTAATAAAAAAGTAATTTTTTTTCTGTACATTTAAGAATATTTTTTATTAAAAAAAAAAATATTGCTCAAATAAAGCAAAAAGCACTACTTAATAGAGTCCAAAAATGCATTATTTTTGCTTATTTCAATTTATTTAGAGCACTTGTTATAGAGAAACTCACTAAAATCGAAAAAGTTTACTAAACCAAAGCAAAAAAATGCAAAATTCTGGCGAAAATGCATTAATTTTGCTTTTTTCTTCAAATTTCAAACGTTTTTTTCTGTACATTTAAGAATATTTTTTATTAAAAAACTCACTAAAAACACTAAATTATTGCTCAAATAAAGCAAAAAAGCACAACTTAATAGAGTCTAAAATGCATTATTTTTGTTTATTTCAATTTATTTAGAGCGCCTGTCATAGAGAAACTCACTAAAATCAAAAAATTTTACTAAGCCAAAGCAAAAACTTGCAAAATTATGTCGGCAATATATTAATTTTGCCTTTTTCTTTGAATTTCAAACGTTTTTCATGAAATAAAAAACCTTTAGAGTGATTTTTAAGTGAGAATTTCTCAAAGTTCGAAAAATTTCAACAAAACAAAGAATAAAATTGCAAAATTAACTCGTTTGCGCTATTTTATTTTACATTATAGATTTAAAACTAAAAAATTTAGTATAAATTTGAAGATAAAACTAAGAATAAAAAGTAAAAATCGCACTTTTAAGTCACAACTTTGTAACAATTGACTATCATTTTTTATTTTTTGAAATGAAAACTACCTGTATATGGTAAAGTCGGGAGAGATGAAGATAAAGATGAACTTTCACTTATCAAAAATATATTAATGTTTTAAGTATTTTAAAAAAATTTTTTTGTTACTTTTGTAAATTGTCTTAAAAAATCGAAATAAAGATCACAATTTTACACTAGGTTTATTAAAATGTAGTCAATCTTGCCCGGACTTACCCTACATTATGAGGTATTCAAAGTGGAAGAATTTGTAATTTTAATAATAAGTATTTTTGTTTTTTTCTGTACATTTAAGCATATTTTTTATTAAAAAACTCACAAAAAACACTAAATTATTGCTCAAATAAAGCACTACTTAATAGAGTCTAAAATGAATTATTTTTGTTTACTTCAATGTATTTAGAAAAAAACTCAATAAAATTGAAAAATTTTCATTAATTTTATCATTTTCTTTGAACTTCAAACTTTTTTTATGGAACAAAAAACGTTTTGGGGGTTTTTGAGTAAGAAGATTTTAACAAAACAAAGAAAAAAATCGCAAAATTAACTCGCTACGCCTTATTTGATGTTATTTTTTACTAGTTTTATTTAGATTTTAATGATGATTTCCGAAAAAATTATAGAATTTTCAAATTTATTTCAAAAAAGACAATTATTTAGATTTTTTTTATATTATTGTGATATTTTTTCAAGGCCTGTCGTTTGGAGGTTTAGCCTCATTCCACTTTATTAGCTCTATTAACCGTCCTTAAAAGCAAACAAACATAAACTTGCATCATGATGGATTTATGAACACTAATAAACCAAAAGCACGTCATCATTTTACACAATTTTCACGACAATGGTACGTGCGTGGTATCTAGAAGGCGATGGATTGGACAATCCAAGAGATGAGCATCAAAGATTGCCTCCAAAGTTCATCACTCTTGAAGACTTGTATCGCAAAACCGGTGTTGAACATCACACTGTGAGTATCATTGAAATAAATCACAAAATTATAATTTTTATTTTGTACTCAATGTTAAAGAAGGCTTTTATCAACTAATTTCAGTAGACAAAGAAGTGTTTTATCGTCTTGTGAAATAAAGTTTGCAAATTGCAAATTCTCAGTAGATCATTTATGGGAGAATTAAATAGATAATTATTTTGAGCGAACCATGTTTTAATTAAATGAAAATAAACGAAAGTAAAATAAATTAAAAATTAAGCNTATCTCTTTCCTTTTTTTATTTTTTTTATTTCTCTCTAATCTCTTTTTTCTTCCCCGAAAATTCTTTAGTTTTGTTCAGAAAACTGTCTTAAAAATCATATATTTATTTAAAAATTTACTTTACAAAACAATATTATTGCAATATTTTTTATTCTCTCTATTTCCTATCCCCCTTTCCACTTTTTTTTTCTTTTTGCTGTTTTTTTCTTTCTCTCTTTATCTGTTCTCTTTAATGCAGAATGCATGATTAGGGTAAAACCGGGAGAGATGGACTTTGGAACTTTGAATTTAAAATAAATAAAATTAATCAATTTTTTTCCATTTGCTTATGTCATTTTTGTAAAATGTTTTTCTTTAATCTCTGAAATTTTTCACACAGTATTATTAAAAGTTTAGGGTTTGATCCCTATTTCCGAATTTTTTTTCTGTCTCTTTTCACTTCTCTCTTCTTCAAAAATGTTTTTTTCCTTTAGTTTCGTTCGCAAAAATTTGCTTTAAATTGTTTTGTTTACAACAAAATATTATTGTGATATTTTCTCTATCTATTTTTCTACTCTCTATTCTTCTCTTTTTTCGTTTTCTTTTCTTTCTATTTTAGCTGTTCTTTTTTATTTTTGTTATTTTTTCAAGCATGTTTCTTTTTAATTTTCAAACTATTTCGGGCATAATTACCAAAAGCTTGAGGTTTAAATAAATTTAAATTAAATAGATAATTATTATGAGCGAACCATCGTTTAATTAACTTGTTAAATAAAAAATAAATGAAAGTAAAATAAATTAAAAATTAAGCAAAAAATATGAATAATGGAAAATTATCTAATTTTATTTTTTGTAAAATGTTTTTCTTTACATAGAATTCTGTATATCTCCTTCCTTTTTTATTTTTTTATTTCTCTCTATTCTCTTTTTCTTCCCCGAAAAGTGTTTTTTTTCTTTAGTTTTGTTCAGAAAACTGTCTTAAAAATCATGTATTTATTTAAAAATTTACTTTACAAAACAATATTATTGCAATATTTTTTATTTTCTCTATTTCCTCTACCATTTTTTATTCTCTTCTCTTTTGTTTCCTATTTTTTTGTCTTTTTGCTATTTTCTTCTTTCTCTTTTTATCTGTTTTCTATTTTACTATTTTTCAAACATGTTTTTTTTTAATTTTTAAACTATTTTAGGCATAATTACCAAAAGTTTGGGGTTTGATTCCTGGTCCTGAACATTTTTTTCTTTTTATATATCTTTTTTTTACTTCTCTATCTTTCTTCAACGATGTTATCAAACGACGCTTCTTCTTTGCTATCTTTTTTATCTACTTCAAGGGTTCCTTTTCGTTTTACACTCTGCGATTTGTCAAATTTTGCAGAAACTTTCGTTTCTAAATTTTTTCAGAAGAAAAGAATGTTTCTAGATCTTCAATCTTATAAAAAGTTTTATTCTTGACTAAATTTTTTACGGAATTGTGTGCTTCTAAATTGTCAATTTAAGAAGAAATGTCTTCTGTTGTAACACTCTGCGAGCTGATTTGATTTTTGAAGATTCATCTTCAAATTCTTTTGTTGTAAAAGCTTGAAACTTTTTTTCAACATTTCTCTCAAATTCTCTTACTGAAATTACATTTCTAAAAGAAGCTTCAGTTTTTAAAGATTGAGATGCGATGGAATCTTCAGCTTCTTCAGTGGTTCTTCAATTTTTTCCAGTTCTATTCTATATTGAAAATAAAGATGAAGCTTCTGACTTGAAAATTGAGATGTTTCGAGAAAACCTTCTGTTGTAACTATTATTATTGTTATTATTAATATTATTATTATAAAAAAATATATTATTATTATTATAGATAACTATTTTTAGTTGAATGTCGACACTTGTGAAACAGATGGTTCGTTGGAAAAATTAAAGGAAGAAAAAGGCTACAAGTTTGAAGATTTTCTTGAAACTCCCTCAGAAGCTAATTTGGTGGAATCCTACAAGGAACATCTTCACGAAGAGGAAGAAAGTCGGTTGGTACTTGAAGGGTGTGGTTACTACGACATACGCGACAACGAGGAATGGATTAGAGTCGAAGTGGTTCCAGGCGATCTAATTGTGGTACCTAGTGGGTGCTATCACAGGTTTATGTTGGATCACACTGTATATTAACTAACAGTGGTAATTAGCCTTGAATTAAATATTTGGTTTTAGAATTGTTTTGAAGCGAAATTGTTTTTTAAAAATCCACATTATAAAGTTTTTGAACGTCCTGCAGATAATTTGGCCTGTCGTCAAGAGTACCTCAAGAAATTGCACAATGGAGAGTTTGAATTTCAAGAATCATGAAAAAAATTCCAATTTGTAGTTGTTGTAGCTTCATTAATAAATAAACACCTCGTATTAGTCTAATTTTCAAAGTGTCTATATACTGGGTGAACAAAAAGCATGTTTTTTAATCATTTGCCTTCGAAAAATAATAATTAGTAAAAAAATTGTTGTTGTAATTCTTAGATTAGCCTTTGTGAAAAAAATAGTATATTATTTCACAAGGTAAAAATAGCCGAGCTGTTTATTACCCGAGGGAAATAGTAAATGCTAGGCTACAAAATTCTCTACCGTTTTTTGAATAATACTATTTTTGAAAATCATCATTAAAGTTTTGTAAAATCGGCACTAAAGTAGTTTATTAATACTACAATTTTGTGTAGCGTGAGTTGCAAACATTAAAAATAGTTTATTAGATTATATTCAACATTTATTCTAAGATTTTTGTCTTACAATTCTTCAGTTTTATCTTTAAATTTATAGTAAAAATATTAGTTTTAAATCTATAATGTAAACTAATAAAAAATAACATATAAAAAATAATAATAAAATAACGCAAACGAGTTAATATTGCAAATTTTTTTCTTTGTTTTGATAAAATCTTTCGAACTTAGAGAAATTCTCACTCAAAAATCACTCTAAAGGTTTTATGAAAAACGTTTGAAATTTGAAGGAAAAAGCAAAATTAATGCATTTTCGACATAATTTTTGCTTTGCCTTAGTAAAATTTTTCGATTTTAGTGAATTTCTCTATGACAGGCCCTCTAAATACATTGAAAAAACAAAAATAATGTTTTTTAGACTCTATTAAGTAGTGCTTTTTTGCTTTATTTGAGCGATAATTTAGTGTTTTTAGTGAGTTTTTTAATAAAAAATATTCTTAAATGTACAGAAAAAAACAAAAATTACTTATTATTAAGATTTTAAAGTAAAAAGAAGTGTGCAAATTCTTCTAGTTTGAATACTTCACAATATAGGGTAAGTCCGGGCAAGACTGATTACATTTTAATAAACCTACTGTAAAATTATGATTTTTAATTCGATTTTTAAGACAACTTATAAAAGTAACAAAAAAAAACATTTTTTAAAAACATAAAAAAATAATATATTCTTATATGTGAAAGTCCACCTTTATCTTCATCTCTCCCGACATTACCATGTATATAGGTATTTTTTCATTTCTAAAAATAAAAAATGATAGTCAATTATGACTTAAAAGTGCGATTTTTTTATTTTATTAATTCAGTTTTTTATTAGTGTTATTTTGAAAATCGTGTTGTTTTGCTGAAATGTACGTTATGTATTTTTTTTAATTGTAATGCAACCAACATACAATTTACAGATAATCTAGTAAACTTTACGGTCAATTTTAGTTAATGACATTTCAGTTCAGAAAAGTATTACTTTACGGACTATTTTATTTTTCAGAAAAACATTATTTTTTAACAAAATTTTAATGTTATTGACAAATCTTATTATTGTTAAAATCTTGTCACTTAAAAACACTCTAAAGGTTTTTTATTCCATGAAAAACAATTGAAATTCAAAGAAAAAGACAAAATTTAAGCATTTCCGACATAATTTTGCATCTTTTTTTGCTTTAGTTTAGTAATTTTTTCAATTTCATAGTTTGTTTTATGACAGACACTCTAAATACATTAAAATAAATTATTACGTAGTGCTTTTTTGCTTTACTTAAGCAATAAGTTAGCGTGTTTGGTGAGTTATTTCTTAGATCGACTAAAATTACTTATTATTAGATTTTAAAATAACATAAAAATTGCAAAAAAATAAAAAAGTGTTAAAAGTAGTCTTATTACCGGTAGTTTTTGGCAAAGACAGAAAAATTCGAGATGGGGTTATTTTGTTGTTTTTTAATAAAAAAGTTTAAATGTTTTTTATTTAATTTTGCATCAATTTCATTTCCATTTACTTGTGATGATAGTAGTTTTAAATATATGTATATTTGTATCAATGTAATTTCGGTATTTTCCCACCTCTAATTTCTAATCCATTATTTTCCTTGGTCAATAATAAAAATGATTATTGACCACTAGGAAAAAAAACAACTTTGCTACCTCTCGAGAAACTAAATAATGAGATTTTTACAATTAGTAGTAAAAAAATATCAAGTGGATTGTCACTTGAAAAAATTAAAAATTTTGCAAAATAAATTATTTTCAAAAATTCTATTTAACAGTTATGTAATCTAAGTTGAAAATTAAAAAAACTTAAATAACAATATATATCATATAACATCAAAGTATTTAATGTTTGTAAAAAACCAATTTCCATTACAGAAATCTGTAACAAAATTGATTTTCTGTCAATTTATTATCATTTGACGTAAAAATTTGTTTATTGGTGCTTAAAAATCAACTACATTGTTTTTGATGCCGCAAAATAAGGTTTTCATTATTTTATAATAAAATAATCAAGATTTAATTTGTATATAGTTTACTGTAAGATTATACTTGACAGCTTACCACATAGATGTCACAGAGTTGACATTTTAATTACAGTAACCTGTAATCGATTTAAGGTTATTAAAAAAGTTTTTTGAACATTTTTTCAATTATTGCTTCGAAAAAAAGGAAGGAAGAGGTGATACAAAAATTCAATGTAATTTTCTTTAATTGTATAAAAATATGGCTTCAAAATGTAACAATAACAGAGAATATGGTAAAATTAACCAGATTTGAATTCCCCAGTTTGCAGTTTTTTTAAATACTCCTTCCTGCATTCCATGTCATCTGCTGGCCGATTGTGTGGCAACCAAACTGGCTCTCCAATAAAAAACCTCTTGGCTTTAATATAATCCTGCAAATGAGCAAATTTCATAAAACATTCCTGCAACAAATTGGTTTTCTCCCACTTTAGTATCCAAAGTAAAGCGATGGTAAATCCCACTAGGGATGATAATCATGTCTCCTGCAACCACCTCAATCCTAATCCAGTTATCATTCTTATCTCTAACATCAAAAAAACCAGAACCATCCAACACAAATCGAATTTCCTCATCAGTGTGCAAATGTTCTTGGAAGAATTTCTTCAACATTTGGTCGAAATTCGCCAAACATTCTCTAGAACATGTCATTTCATCCTCATATGTGTAACCTCGGTTTTTTTTAATTTTGTCCAAAACGCCATCAGTGGTGTAGGAATTGATGTTCAACTGTAATTTTTTTGTTAGTGATAATTGAGTGGAAATAAACCAACCTTGAAATATTCCACTCCTGAAACTTTGTACAATTCATCGAGGGTTAAAAATTCAGGAGGGTTTTTCAGGTGTGGGGTTCTTTGGTCGGACGGGTCGGCGTCCATGTACCATGCACGAACCATTCTTGGGTTTGGTAGTGATAAAGGTTATCAAATCGGTTTTAAGGAATAATACAACCAAGAGATGTCACAAATTATAGATTTCTAGAAAATTACAGTGTTCTGTAATTTTTTATTTAGTTTTCTAATATTTGTAAAGCTTTGTTAAAATGATAAATAAATAATTTAAGTCCATTGTGTTTGCTTACTTATATTTTTGCAAATTACTCGTCACAGAGCATTTTACCCGGTTCCAAAAAAGAAAAATTTGTAGTTTTAGTTAGCAAAAAAAAAACATTTTTTTAAGTAGATTTTTACAATTTTTTACAAAAGTTACTCAATATTCTCATTCCCCTGTGACACATTTCAATTTTTTTCTGTTTGAACACTGCAAAAAAAAGTTTTCAGTATTCTAAATTCATCACAAAACGTTCAAAATGTGTCAAAACCTGGAGAACTACTCGTTATAGAGCATTTTAACCGGTTCCAAAAAAAACATATTTTAAACTCAAGTCTGAATTTAAAAAACTTTTTTTTTTACGAAAATCACTCAATTTTGTCATCCCATCTGTGACTATTTATTTTTTTCATTTGGGCAATAAAATAACGTTTAAAATGGGTCAAAATCTTGAAAACTACTATACTTTAACCAGTTTCGAAAATAACACATCATAGAACATTTTAACCGATTTCAAAAAAATATATTTAGAACGATTATATAAATTAAAAAAACATTTTTTCAAATATTTAGAATAAAAAATATTTTTACAAAAGTTACTCAATTTTTTCACCCCCCTGTGACACATTTAAATTTTTTTTTAATTTAAACACTGAAAAAAGAAGAAGTTTTTAGTAGTCCAAAAATTCATTATAAGATGTGTCAAAATCTCAAAAACTACTCGTCCTAGAGCATTTTAACCGGTTCC